AAGATTAAACTGAACTGTAATTTCTCCAGACATGAAATGTTCAATGAATTACCTCTCTCTGCTACCTCTCCCTCTCTGAATAGGTGTAATGCCTAATTATATTATCCTCTATAGACAGAGTAATGATATCCCTAACAATAACAAAAGAGAGCGGAAAGGGGTATGGTGCTCTGACTCAAGACTAATAACATATTTCTATCTGTTTTTGTTTTTAATTCAGTATTACAAACAGCTTCCGAAAATCCAAATTTTATTTTAGAAACCTTAGGGTCCAAACAAATTTTAATGAGAATCTTAGAATTCTAATAATGGTTTTAAAAACATATGTGAAAGTGTGTAGCAAACTATAAGCTATACCATAAATTATACACACACACACACACAAACATCTTTATGGACTGGAGACAATGTACAGAAGTCCATGAAACAATCCAGAAACAAAGATAAGACATGTTCAGGTACTACATAAAATCTAAGGAATATAAAAAATGATTAAGACATTATCCTCTAGGAATTTATAATCAGACTAGGACAACAGGTTTACAAATGACTGATTACAAAGTAGTTCAATGTGTACAGCAGGTATAAACTAGACAAATGACAAGGTTGAGATTAAAAACACAAAGAACATTTAGCTAGATAGAAGTAAGCAACAGCTAGGAGCCAGTGGCTCATGCCTGTAATCCTAGCTACTCAGGTGGCTGAGATCTGAGGAACAAGGTTCAAAGCCAGCCGTGAGAGGAAAGTTGGTGAGACTCTTATCTCCAATTAACCACCAGAAAACTGTAAGTAGCACTGTGTAGCTCAAGTGGTAGCATGCTCACCTTAAGCTGAAGAGCTCAGGGACAGCACCTAGGCCCAGAGTTCAAGACCCACGACCAAAGCGGGGGATAAGTAAGCAACAGGAGAAAATTTCAAAACCAGGAAAAAGTCAACGTCAGACTGAAAGAGGCCCATACTACTAGACTCAGTATTTTAGAAAATAATGACATGGGTGGGGCGAGTGGGAGAAAAATGAGGGAGGGGGTAACAAGTTCAACAAGAAATGTACTCACCACCTGACTCATGTAACTGTAACCCCTCTTTATATCACCTTGACAATAAAATTTAAAAAGAAAATAATGGCATGTCTTGACCAACTAGGTAGAGCAATGATTTCCAACCTGGTATCACCAGACTGCTAGGGTAACAAAGATCTATAATCTAGTCAATCTTTTTTTTGTTGTTGTTCTTTGTTCTTTGTTTTTTGTTTTTGTTTTCGCCAGTCATGGGGCTTGCACTCGGGCTTGGGTGCTGTCCCTGTGCTCTTCAGCTCAAAGTAAGCATTCTACCGCTTGAGCCACAGTGCCACTTCTGGTTTTCTAGTGGTTTATTGGAGATAAGAGTCTCAAGGATTTTCCTGCCCAGGCTGGCTTTGAACCGAGATCCTCAGATCTCATCCTCCTGAGTAGCTAGGATTACAGGCGTGAACCACCGGTACCCAGCCTCAATCTCTTAAAAGTTTGCCTTTTAGAAGTTTACCTTTCCTTAACATTAGGCCAAGTTTTTCACTTAGGTAATTACATTAGATCAGTATCGTTACACTATCATCTTTATTTTTGTCAAAGGTCACAATCATCAATCACAGGTCTGACTGACAAGGAAATGGGGCCGGAGGCATGGCTCAGTAGTAGAATGTGTGCTCAAGAGTAGAGTGCATGCTGGCAAGAATGAAGTCCTGAGTTCAAATCCCAAAACTACCAAAAAGACATATTTACATTTACATAAATGAATAATTACATAGTAGAAATAATTTGATGTTGTAAAATAAAAGTCTTGTACAGAGAAGCTAATCAAAGTATGTCTTAGTACTACACTGTAAGTAGTAAAACTTTGGTACAAAACTAATAGGAATGGGTTCAACTAATAATAATGACCTAGGGTATTTGAGGGTTTGAAAGTAATCGTGGCAAAATGGACTGGTTTGGACTGATTTCAACCTCACTTTGAACTAACATGAAACTCCAAAGGGGCACACACTCATGTGAACTTACATTAATAAGATATTGCACAAATCTAGGATGGTATAACAAACATTACTATCATATGCTCTTCAACAGTACAGTCGTTGAATAAAATGGAATGGTCCAGCACTATATTCCAAATTTTAAAACCTACAGCTATAGATTCTCTGGAGTAGGAAACTGAATATTCACTAAAGAAAAGCACTGTACAGTCACCTTCAAACAGAGCAGGGGATGTCCTGTACAAAGAGATTAGTAGGCTTTTAATAATTGCTACTAAAAGCAGGGTGAGTAGATAGACGTTACTGAATGGTGAACCTAGGATCAAATACAAAGACCTTAACGAAGAGTAATAAAAAAAAAATCAGACTCAAAACCATTGTTTTCATTACTGAATATTTTCAGCAAAAGAAGAATCATCTATCTCTCTGTGTTTACATAATATGGTACTTTTCTATTGGCTTATATTAGTTATACAAGGGGAAGGGTGAAGCTCAATGTTAGAGCTTCACACATGTTTACATTGTAGTGCACTCATTCTTATCCCCTCTATTGCATCCTTGTCTCATTCTACCCCCAAAAGAAACATAACTAGCCAGGCACCAGTGGCTCACACCTGTAATCCTAGCTATTCAGGAGGCGGGAGATCTGCGGATCACTGTTTAAAGCTGTCCAGGCAGGAAAGTCCATGAAAGTCTTATCTCCAATTAACCACCAAAAAAGCCAGAAGTGATGCTATGGCTCGAGTGGTAGAATGCTCATCTTGAAATGAAGAACTGAGGGACAGCACCCAGGCCAAGAGTTCAAGCCCCTGGACTGTCAAAAAAAACCAAAACAAAACAAAAACCCATCCCCAACAGGTTTCCATGTTCCAGTTTCTCAGTTGTAATTGTATTTTTGAAATTATGTCTCCCTTCATACACAGTAGATCCTGGACTCTTTGAGGGAAGGAATGTGGTCTTGTCCACCTTTATGGCTCCACAAACCCAAAAATAGAGTATATAATATATTTTCTATTGAATTATACTAATGAAACAAATAGTTTTAAGAATGAATGGTTTTAAGAACCAATTCATTGAGAAAATTCATTGGCTATGATGCACTCTGGAACAACTAAAATTCTAAGATGGCCCTAGTACCACCTACATCTAGAGCTCAGTAAATCTTATCATATAGCTCGCTGGTATATGAAAAGATAAGAAGCAGATTAACTTGACTTGATACCTTTATTTGAAACATATTGGCTATACTTAATTGCCAAACTACAACAGTATAATGGTTTATAACATGAAGCCTTAAACAAAGTATAAAAACATAAATGTGTGAGAGTTTCTCAAGCACAAAACAGGCTGAAGGTGCAACTCAGTGTTAGAGAGTGACTGCCAGGCAGTGGGTTCAACCCTAGGACAAACGAAAACAGCTAGAAGAATTTCTACAATAGAAGGATTGCAAAAGCCTTATTCTTTAAACATCATGTAGAAGACAGTGTAAAATACCTACAGTCAGTTGACATAAGAAAGGAATCAATAACATTTAACTGTCTCAGCAAAGAATGGACATACTGAGAACTGCAAAATATTTCAATTATTAGTTTAGGACTATACCTGAATGTTACCTAATTCTTTCTTGTGTTCTGCACAAACCCTTTTACCTTTTCCAGTTTACAAGAAACACCTTTACCACTTTACATATTGGTCTGGAAAAATAAAATACACTACGTAAGTCAGTGGGTGTGGTTGCCTGAGTTAAACCCTAGAAGTACCATGAAGAAAAGACAATGAAAGTACCACTCTGGGTAACAGAAATACCAAAGATGATTATTATTAATAATTATAATTATCAAAGATAATTTAGCTACAGTAGATATTTACAACTGTCTTTAAGGTGTATCTTGCATATATAATAGGTACTTAGACTCTTAAGTGAGATGAATCATTTTGGGGTTCAGGAACCCCTAGTGACAGATCACTTGGATGGGAACACTCTGAAAAGTTTTACATGGGGGAACACATTCAATGTAGACAAATAAAGATACACACCACTCTCGGTAACTTGCATGTCTGTACAGATACACACACACACACACACGCACACACACACACACGGAGGTTTTACCAATGTACTTGGAGTTAACTTAAGAGAGGAGGACTACAAGACGCTGTAGTCTTTCATAGAAGTATCCTAGATGTGTGATATTATTTTTCACAACATCCTCCTCCGAATTTTTTTTTTAAAAGGCAAAATACAGACATTTCATTCCAGTTCCAGAATTTTTTGGAACAAGAGAAAGAAAAAAAGAAAAAAGACACTTTAGTGCCGCCTACCACATCAAGGGACTTAACTCTTCCTAAGCTACTTTTTGGAAAACGCAGTATTGCACTAAAGCCCGGACATTTGCAGGATCCCGGGTGTGTGTGTGTGTGCGTGTGTGCGCGTGTGAGTGTGTGTGTGTGTGTGTGTGGTAAAGACGTATTTGCTTCTTCATTGAGAGCAGCAGCTTTGAGCGTCTGGGGGACAGGGAGGGGGAGAACATTTGGGAATATTAACTTCACCCCAAATCTCCAGGTTCCCACCCCGCAAACACAAGGGGAGGGGGCAGAGCGGAGGCGGGAAGGGTCAGGTGGGGAGGGGACGGTCAAGCCGGACCCCGCGGGGTCGCTCCGGGTCGCGGGAGGACAGCCGCAAAGGGAGGGGTGCGGCCCGCGGCCCCGACCTCCCCGCAGCCCGCCCGGGAGGTTTGGGGGTCCGCAGGGCCGCAGCCGGGGCTGACACTGCGCGGTCCCGGAGTCGAGGCCGCGGGAACCGCCAGGGCCGAAGCGCGCCACGACCCAAGTCCCGCGTTCCCCGGGCGCCGCTCCGCCCGCCGCCTCCCGGGGCGCGGCGCGGACCCCCGTGCGCTCCGGACCCGTCCCGCGTGCGCCTCGGCCTCCGGGCCCCGCGGGGCCCCCGCCGGCGGGGCGCCCCTCCCCGCGTCCCCCCGCGCCGGCCTCCACTTACCTTCAATCGCCATGATGTGCTCGCCATGGACCGCACCAAGTGGACGGCGGGGCGGGGGGCGGCGGCCGCGCCGAGGCCGCGGGCTCGGGGCCGGGGCGGGGCTCGCCGGGCGCGGCGGGGCTGCGGGGCGCCGCGGGCAGCCGCGGACCGGGCCGGGAGGGGAGGGGCCCGGGCGCCCCGCGTGTGTGCGCGCTGGGGAAGAAATGGAACCTTCCGGGGGCCGCCGGCGGCACGTGACGGCGCCCCGCCCGCCCCGCCGCGCCCGGAGCCCGGAGCCCGGCGCCCGGCGCCCAGCGCGGGGATTCAAACCCGGTGCGGGGTCCGCGCGGCGGCGGCGGGCGACGTCACCCGAGGCCCGGGGAGCAGCGGCGGGGGGCGCGGCCCAGCGCGGGCGGCCGGGGCGGAGTGGTCAGCACCCTGGACAGCGCTCAGCGGGGCTGGACGGGTCTCCTCCCCGGAGCCGGGCTCGGGTGGGAGCGGGGCAGGCTCCTGACCCGCGGCCTTGGGGTCTGGTAACGTGAAGGGGTTCGGTTTGGGTTTTGCCTTGAATTGGGCAAATCCTCGCCTCATTCTGCGCTGTGGGGCCAGGAGACAGTTAGCAAAAACCAACCGGAGAGAGGGATCCTGAGGACAACCATGTGTTTCTCTCCCCCTTCCTCCTCCCCTCTCTCTATCTCTCTCGGTCTGTCTGTCTCTGTCTCTGAAACACAAAGAGCCCCCCCCTCTCTCTCTCTCTCTCTCACACACACACACACACACACACAGAAGCACCTTGCACTTGGTGCCCTCCCCCTTGGAAATAGGAGTTGACATCTGTCTGCATATTGCAGACACGCATTTGAGGCCACAGAAAGGTAGCGAGTCGGACTGACATTTTGGCAGAGGACCTTGAAAACTTGTCACATGCACTTTTTAAAAAAAATTGCAAACCCATGAGAATTGGGATCCGTCACGGGCCACCTAAACCCTGAACGACAGCAACAATTGGCCACTTAGCTTTGACTTGAGGGACTTCCTGCCATCTTTTGCCCAGCTCTCCAGTTCATTTGGTACTTGAAGGGCCGGCAACAATCAAGGGTGTAATCTGCATTAAGGAGAAGTTAGTGATTGTTCCCTGCGGAGAAAATGCTAACTTCTACAGCCAGGGAGCTATATTAGGGACTGACACAAAGAAGGAAATATTTTCCACTTATGTAAGTGAGGTTGGACTGCAATCTAGAGCAGAAACGATCTCTTATTGCTTTTATGTAACTTGTCCCTCAGTCACCATTTAGGTTCAACCGACATCTATTTTTTAAACCATTTTTATTACTTCAGTGAATATCTGTTGAGCCAGGCACTGTGCTGAAAGCTGACTACAAACCAGAGTTGTTATTGAAGGATCAAACAAAATACATATTTTCTACTCAATCAATACTAAAATGCTGTCAATTTTGTCTAGGAAATATGTGTAGGGGTGAGTGGAGGCTTGTGAGAGGGTTCACAGCGGATGTCTGTGGGATGCAAGTAAAATATGCTTAATCAGTAACATTCTCCCCACACACACACACACAACTTGGTTTAAAACAGGCTTGAACTTGAGACATTGAACTCAAAACCACAGTTCATGCTTTGTGGTTTCTGGCTGACTGTTAAGTAATCCAATTGTTCAATCTTTTTAAAAACTTCATGTTGAAAACTAGAAAAGCTTATTCATCCTTTCATCGCCAATTACACAAGTAACTACATATATTACAAGACTATGTGCACTGGAAGAACACAGGTTAATATCACCACCCTTTGTTTAGAAAATCAGGGTGGGGGAAAGTACTGAATTTGTCAACTCTGGGAACTTAGACTAGTTAGACCAAGACTAGTCAGTATTGGTTACATATTCCCCTTAATGAAAATGCATAATTCACCCTACAAACATTGTCTTTAAATATAATATGGTATATATACTATATACCATATAGTATATATACCATATATAGTATATATATGATATGCAGTACATATGGTCTACAACTACTAGTTGGAAAATTTGTATTAGACTAATGTTAGCTACCACATGGATTACTCAACTTCCCTGCATGTCATACAGCTTTTGAGTTTCCTTAGCAGCTACTATTAGTTGGGTGTACTTTGTTCCCACCAAACCTATGCTGAAATTGCAATGTAATAGACCAAAACACTAAAACACTTGGAGAAGGGTGGGGGGTGGGGGTAGAGGGAGTGTTTGGTTGTTTTTAGTTTTTTTAATCTCCTTGGGTTGTTTTGTTTTTGTCTTGTTGGGGGTCAAAGAATGAGTCCCTGGAGAAAGGAAGTGAAACAAAACAGCAAGACTCACTGAAAAAAGCAGAGCTCCAGCTGAAGAAGGAGGGTTCCCAAAGGAAGACTACTGCCCAGAGCAGATGGTGCTGAGATTAATACGGTGTTTCTAGGAGGAAGCTGCCTGACTCTCAGAGTCCATACAGTCTAACAACAACAACAAAAATAGTGGGATATTAACTCATTTGACGTAAAATACCTACTCCCAATCAGGAGGCCAGATACTAAAATTAGCCCAGATTAGGTCAGGTACACACCACTGAATAAACCCTGGCAGGCCAAAAGAACAGAATCATAGAATATTAATGAACTGGGGAAGGAAGATAGTTCTCCGAAGAGAGTTCTGAGTAGAAAAACTCAAGCAATGACTCTTTCAGACATCTATCTCAGCATGTTTATCTTCTCTTTTCCAAGAACTTGCCTAACTCAGCAACTTCACTGCAGTTCCTTTAGACGACAAATGTTGAAAAGAATTGTTTATGGCAAGGAAGATATTCTGTATTTATAGCCGCACAGTGGCCACTCATCACATAAATCTACTAAGCACGTGAAATGCAATGTGGGTTGGATTTTTAGTTTTATTTAATTTTATTTAATTTGAAATTAAAGAGCTACATATGGCTAATGTCTGCTTTATTGGACAGCATAGCTTTGGAGCTACAGACATGACATGGTAGTATTCGGGCAAGACTATTAAAGATTATTTAAATGTTCTTGGTAAGATAACGTAGGTTCCTGGTGGGGAGAGAACAGTAGTAATTCATTTGTTTGTTTAGTGTGTATGTTTTTATCTTTATAAGATCAACCAAAGAAAGAAGAGATCAAGTATCACAGCCCCTAACTTAGTACTCTATACTTCCTTCTCTTATATCTTTTGAGGCTTCTATGCAGAGCAAAGGGCTAACTACACTTCTTTCCCTTTCCTCCATCAATTTTATGATGGTCTTCCTATATAGTCTTTGCTGTAAGATTCTTACTGTTCAATGGGGTCATTGCTGTCGGCTAACAGTACAGAGCAGCACACTATAGTCTGATTTATTTATTTTAATTTTTTGCAATAAATTCTATCTAGAGATAGAACTCAGGGACTTTCATATGCAAAGAAAGCACTCTACCACCAACCCCCTCCCCAAGTCCCTATGCAGATAACAGTGAAAACAGATTAGAGGAACTCAACTCTCTCTAGTATATTGGGACAAAGTTAAGCATTGTTAAACCTCTGTTAAATACTGTTAAACTGCTGTGAATGTGAAGTCTTTACGTAAGCATCTCCTTTAATGTTTAGTTTTCTTTTAAATTAGCTGAAGATGTTGGATGCTGGGGCAATTTGACTCCCTAATTGGCTGCTTTTAGATAATTTCCCTAGTGATCTGGCTGCTTTAAGTGAAAGACTATCAGCTAAACATCCAGCCAGGCTGCCCTCATGACAACTGCTCCAAACACTTCATGAACACCATGAAGAAGCTTCATGGCAACTACATCTGCTTGCTGCCAAAGCACAACTCCAGCCGCAGAAGGCACCATCCCATCCATGGCACTTTCAAAACAGTTGCACCAGGATTTTGGCCATCAATGCCCTAGCCAACTCTATATAACCTTAGAGTTATTTCTGTTCAGGCCAGAGGGGGAATGCATCCTTTAGTATCCCAACAGAAAACCTGCAATTGGTACAAACACAGACTTACTTTTGCAGGAAGGTGTGCCATGATCCATGATTGGTGCAAACACCCTTGCCACACCTCCTTTATTGGCTATATAAATAGCTACTAGATCATTTGGGGGGGAGGCACTTCCTGGGGGGGGAGGCAAGCTAAGAGATACCCTCTGGTATCTCTCAAGTTTGTCTCAAGTAGTCTTTTCTTGCCTACTTTTGACTTGTGTCATTGGTAGAGTAATAAAAGAGGGTAGCAGAAGCAGCAGCAGTGGTAGAGGCAGCAGCAGTGGTGGATGGTGGCAAGGGAGAGCTGAAGAGTTCCAGAGAGCAGTTGGGTAGAAATAATGGAGACAATTTGGGCTGTGGAGAACTAAAGACAAGGAATTTGGGGCCTTAGTCTCTCAAAGAGTTCTTTGGCCTTAAGGGCCAAGGGTGCCAAAACACTTTGGACCAAATGCTATAATAGTAGCCATTGAAGGGCTGAGGACATACCAAGGCTTTTTCAAGTAGGAGCCATTGAAGGGCTGATGACATACCAAGGCTTTTTCAAGTTCTTTTGTACTAGCAGGTATAGCCTGTTGCTGCTTGCTGTTGCCTGCTGCTACTGCCCACCACAGCTGTAAGCAGAGGCTGACAATAGCTGCTGTGTCAGGGCTGCTGGTGATTGAAGTTTAGAGCAATAAGCCTGCAACCTGAGTGCCTATGGCCTTAAGTCTCTGCTTCTAAGGCCTGGAGTAATTGGCCCCTAACTCTCTGGGTTTGGAACTATAAATCTTTAGGTCTGCCAGTCCAGTCCCTGCAGGCCTTGTACACTCAAGGCTCTTGGGTTGCCAACACTAATGGAGCTTCTCCTGACCTACCCATAATTTCTATCTGGGTAAAGAAAAGGGCTCCAACCATCTGATTGTTAACAAGTATAATATAGCATGATATTGGAACATCAGCATGGAGGAGTGAACATAGCCTCCAAATATATGCACCAGTTTAACACAAAATGATCAAGCACTGCTTGCTAGGACGTAAGATACTGTTCTAAGCATTCTTATGCATAACAAAGAAGTGTATTAATTTGTTCTAAGTAGGAGTAC